TGATATTGTGTATAAATATTTACTATAATGGGTTATTTTTGGAAAATATAATAGTGACATAGGGGGCCTCAAAAAAAAGTTGGCGGGGGAGCCCCCAAAAAATTTGACACGCTACTGTTTTATTACCTACACTTTGCCATTTAACTTTTTTCCATAGGACTTGTAGTTTTGCCGGAAATCGAGATAAACCATTTTTTACCCTTAACCCCCCCCTCCCACTTCCCGAAGTCAGATCGCCCGTAATTTATTTTTCCTTTCATTTTTATTATATTCTTCTCCTTTTCCAATGGGTTTCATCCTACTGTTATTTTTTTTTGGTTTCAAAAATTATCGACCCTGGTCTACTAATGTGTGGGTCCCGCCAAATTTAATTAAAAAAAAAAATTATACAGGGTGTTTAAATTTATACAGGGTGTTTCCAATATCTTTGAATTTTGACCTGATACAGCTAAACCAAGTACGGATTTGTAATCTACGACCAAAAATTAAATTTACGTGTCCGAGCGTTTAGCTGTGATATTTTCACCTCCCTACAGTGTTATAAGCGACCTTTAAATGTTCTGCACTCTCTACCCATTTAGATGTCATATAATAAAAAACCTGGGGAGACAAAATATTTAAAACCCTTGGGCCCATACCCCTGAATTTTGAAAAATAGCCCAAAAAATCTATGGAAATCCCGGGTTTTAGTTTCCCAATATGTATTATTATTATTATTATATGTATGCTTATATTTTTTGGGTAACTGAATTATCAAATATAGAAAATGACCTTGAAAATTATATGATAATAATGCAAAAAATCTCATTAACATTCGCTTAGCTACTGTGTCGCGCGTTGGAGGGAGGCGAGGCCACGCCCGATATGTTTCCCTATATTCGGTTTTACTCTTAACGGGCTCCAAGTAATATACATTAAAATGTATAGTATTAAGAAAGCAGGTCCTTTTAGTTCTGGTTTTAATATTTTTTGTTTGTTTTTTCTTTCTTTTTTTCGTTATTCTTATTAACATAACAGTAGAACACGTCAATAACAGATGTGTAGTGACGGATGAGTTTTCACCTCCCTATAGTGTTATAAGCGACCTTTAAATGTTGTGCACCTTCTACCCATTTAGATGTCATAGAATAAAAAACCTGGGGAGACAAAATATTTAAAACCATTGGGCCCATGCCCATGAATTATGAAAAATAGCCCAAAAAATCTATGGAAATCCCGGGTTTCAGTTTCCTAATATGTAATATTATTATTATTATTATTATTAATATTATTATTATTGTTATTATTATTATATGTATGCTTATATTTTTTAGGTAACTGAATTATCAAATATAGAAAATTATAGAAGTCCCTTGGAAAAATTAAACTGCCTTTTTACGAGTTATGACTTGTTATATGCTGAACTAAAGGCCATATTGGTAAAAATGATATCAAAGTATTCAGGTTAGTTTTGTATCATACGAGGTGTTCAGAAAGTAACGGGATTTTTTTTTTGGTTGTATAAGGGTGATTTCTGTTGTGTTGGTAAACATGTCTGAATAGTATGTGCTAATTTGTATGATACAGCTACAATAAGCGTGTACTTTGGCAGATTTTGAGACATTTTTGCAAATAACTTTGAAACGATCGCGATCTGCAACTAAATTTTTTATTGCAAGAAACGTTCTGTAGGCTATAAGTGGTCAAAAATTCTTAAAGATAACAAAGAAAATATTTTAGGGTGCCAAAGTAGGCAGAGAAATGGGGATACTTTGGCAGGTTATGAATAGGTATATCCTAAAACATAAAGTAGATCGCAATTTATGCCTTCTTTGGCACAAAAAGCGGCCCAGTTTTGTTGTACAATTTTTTCAGATTTTTTTAGCTTTCTAGATACTATTTTTAATGAAAACCATATATTCTTTTTTAAAAGGGCGTAGCGCAAGCCACAAGCCTGGAAATGGAGGGGTTAGTATTTTATAATCCGTAATATCATGAAAGGAAAAATAACAAAATAATAATAAATTATTTAAAAAAAGTTAAAAAATGCATAGTAAGACCCCAAAACCCATTACAACTATAAACTTATAAATATATGTCAGAGATTAACGAGGGCGACCGAGGGTTAGGCTGTCTAGACATTTTATAAGAATGCACGACACTGGTTTTTAATATATAGTTATTTAATAAAACACGTAGTCAGAAAAATCCGCACAGAACACAAAATTAATATTAATCGTCCCACTAATTATTAGCTATAAAATGGAAACCAACGATCCGCGACCCGCTAGACCAACAATAGTCAATCAAAAATCAATTCAGAGATTCGACTTGTCTCAAGACAAGTCAAGATCTATCTGCTGGGTCCGTTTCGTTTGCCAAGCTTATCGCCAAGCGGTTCCCTTAAAAAACATTTTACCCCTCCTAACATACTTTCTACGTTTTAAAGAACTATAACTAATTTGTCTAGACAAATTCACACAAATAAATGTTTCGTATTAGTGTTAGACTTAATCATAAACACCTAATACGAGGAAAATGACATTCTCCAAATGCATGGGACTTTTTTAGCCTAAACATTGTTACAAAAATCTTATCAACAAAAATAAACAAAAGGGTGAAAAAGAATCATGAGCGTAGACCAATAATTAATAAGGGCGCCGACACGGCCATTCTGACTAGTGCACGTCCTCGGGCACTCAATGGTCATCTGGAACGCAAAAGCCCAAAGCCTAAGCCTACATTGTCGCTACATCCGCTCGTCCATCCTGACTAACAAAGAATAATGCAATACAACGCGATATTAATAATTTTTTTTAGGAGGAAACCGAAGCCGATATTCTTTGCAACTTCCAATAGTAATATCATCTGGTAACCAAGCTAAAAATCATAAACCATCAAGAACATTGCAGTCCGGTGCTTCCACACTCCATTCATTAGCAAACTGTTTACCATCATGTAAACAACAACAACACAGTAAGACTCTTCTTACTAAGCAACCAAACTAGGCCACAACATGCCTCTTCTAGTAACTCTTTTACTAGTCAACTAAACTAGGCCACATGCCTCTTCTAGTAACTCTGTTACTAGTCAACTAAACTAGGCCACATGCCTCTTCTAGTAACTATTTTACTAGTCAACTAAGCTAGGCCACATGCCTCTTCTAGTAACTCTTTTCCTAGTCAACTAAACTAGGCCACACGCCTCTTCTAGTAACTCTTTTACTAGTCAACTAAGCTAGGCCACATGCCTCTTCTAGTAACTCTTTTACTAGTCAACTAAACTAGGCCACATGCCTCTTCTAGTAACTATTTTACTAGTCAACTACTGCAATGTTCAATCAGATAACTGCTATTAATTAATAAAAAAATTAAAAATTAAAAGAAAGGATTATTACTCAGTTTGTCAGGAATGAGTGGATTCCCTTTAGCAGGATATTATCTATTTCTCTATTGTAATAATCGCCGACACAGCCATTCTGTTCATTCACTTAAGACTTCACCTTGCCCTTCAGGTACATTAATAATCTGATCATGCGCAAATTTAAAAACACTACTTTTACCCTTATCGTTAGGTTTAATAACAATCATTTTCTAAAATCTTAGTGATTTTTAATGTACCTCGAAATTTACGATCTAATTTAGAAATCATTCTTTCATTTATTTTACTAAATACAAAATAAATAAAAAAATTTAAATGGAGCTCGAAATTTACGATCTAATTTAGAAATCATACCTACTTTAATTTATTTTACTAAATACAAAATAAATAAATTTTTATCTAAAGTTTTCTTCCACGCCAAATGTTTTAAATTAGTGTGAACATGATTTATTACGGGCCAAACCATTGATTTGGGTACTACAGGTAAACAAAGTAAACAATTTTTTTTCTTTATTTTTCGGAACAGCATATTGTTTAGAATATCATATGTTTTGGTTTTTTTTGCAATATTAGGGTCGAGGTCGTTGCACTTCAGATCGGCAATAAGTTTTAAAAGGCTGTCATCGCGTTGTTGAGCTACTAGCAACCAGTCTTTTTGTAATTCGATATTTTGAATAACGTTAAGGGGTTTAGAATTTTTATCTTTTGGTACACTAGGATTTTCAACCTTGTCATTTAAATTAGGAGTACTATGATTTCGAGACAAGAAATTATCATGTTTCATTCGTTTTCCTTCACGATAAACATTATCAAAGTCAAACGATTGTAAAAATGCCCACCAGCGATGTGCACGAGGCGTAAGATCATGTTTTGTACGTGAAGACTTAAGAGAAATACAGTCCGTAAAAACTGTAAAATAATTTTCTAATAAGTTTCGAAAGTGCTTGATACCATTAACAACGGCTAATGTTTCGAGTTCGTAAAAGTTGTATCTAGACTTGGGGCCAGATGTTCGTTTACTAAAATATGCGACAGGGTAATTTTTGTACAAATCCGTATCAATGTTATGAAAATTCGTGTTTTCTGTTTCGCAAACTTGAATATTTAATTCACGACTACAAGATTTGAGTCCAAACGAACAGCAATATTTAATTTAATTAAATCATTTCCTATAATAATATTGGGCGATATAAAATAGTCCGGTACCACGAAAAATAAATTCTCAATTAATATTTTCTCAATCTCAATCACAATTAAAATTTGATTACTACATAGTGAAGAGCGATTATTAACACCCTGTAAAGTAGTTAAATTTCCTAAACGTTTACCATTAAATTTAGATGCAATATGTTCTTTCAAAAGAGAACAGTCTGAACCTGTGTCAAATAAAAAAAGGAAAGGTCTCACCAGATCTAATCTTTACTTAAATGACCTACGGACAAGGACATTGATCCTTTTCTCTTCAATTCTTCATTTGCCGCCTGAAGATGGACAGTCCGGAGAAATATGTCCTAACTTGCCACACTTAAAACAAGTAACCTCTCCGTCAGTCTTCTTGCTTTTAAAATAGTCACTTGCAGTTGGGTTTTTCCAATCAGCAGCCTTGTGTCCCGCCTTTTCGCACGTAAAACAATTTTCAGGACGTTTATGGAACCTTTTATTTTTAAAGGGCAGAGACAAAGGTTGGCTTCGTTCCAGTATGATGACTAGAGGGAAATAGGGCCTAACGTTTGCCTAGACGCCCTTGTAACATGGTGCACATACTTTTTGCATCAACTGGTTTATCAAACGATTCGTCGCTTTTTCTATTTTTTAATGTTAAAATGTTTCTCATCGACTATTTCCCTCGTCTTAATTTCCACCAATCACAAACGCGCAATTTTGAATTACAAATGGTTTCTAGGTGAAAAAACTGTGTGACAGCACCTGTCAGCAGTTTTTTCGAGTATACCCGTGGCCACGGTCTTATATACAGGTCTTGCAACTTTGGGAGCTCAAGTAAATTGTAAAATTTCAGCCAATATCATGAATTCTTATTTCGTTAATATAGCTGATACTATTTTAAAAAATTTAAATGTAGTTAGTTCCACAGTTAACCTGGACAAAATTCAAACACCAAAATACCAGTTTAATTTTAAGGAAGTCACTTATATTGAGGTTCTGGAAATAATTTCCAATATTAAATCAAAAAATAGCTGTGATGTCTATGGTTTAAATATAAATTTAATAAAAAATGTAAAATACTTAATATCTGTTCCCTTAGCTAAATTAATAAATATGTGCTTTTTATCTGCAGAGTTTCCGCTTGTTCTGAAGGAGGCCCTTGTCGTTCCTGTTTACAAGAAAGGTGATGCTGAAGACCCCAGTAACTACAGACCAATATTAATATTGCCAATTTTTTCAAAAATTATTGAGAAATGTATGGCAAATAGGATTGTTGCTTTTTTTGAGGATAACGACATCTTTTGTGATTATCAATATGGTTTTAGGAAGGGTAGAAACACTACAACTGCTATCTTACAGATGGTAAAATCCATAAATGAGTCATTTGAAAATTTGGAGTTTGCGAATGCAGTTTTTTGCGACCTTAGTAAGGCCTTTGACTGGGTTTCTCACTCTTTACTTTTTAAGAAATTAGAGGCCTACAATTTCTCAGCGATAGCAATAGATATCAGGTGTGCAGGGTTGAAGGCAGGATGAGTCAGAGGATGGAGTTACGAGTTGGGGTTCCCCAGGGTTCTATTCTTGGACCTATCCTGTTTTTAATTTTCATTAATGACTTGTGCTGCAATAATGGCGCGGTGGGTTTTACACTTTTTGCTGATGATACCACAATAATATTGAAACACTCAGATATTGAACTACTAAATGAAGAGAGCGAGCGTGCACTGTCAGAGGCTGAGCTATGGTTTACCAGTAACAGACTTGTTTTAAACAAAGAAAAAACACAAAATCTTATTTTTTCTTTAAGACCTATAAATGATGGATACCCACTAAAACCAGTTAAATTTCTAGGAATCTTATTAGACCATAAATTAAGATGGAATTGCCATGTTGATGCGTTATCCAAAAAATTGAGCACCAGTATATTTGTCATGCGTAACTTAGTTGGTAATGTCTCTAGTGATGTACTGTTAAGTGCATATTATTCGCTATTTGAGTCACATATATCTTACGCTCTAATTGTGTGGGGTCACTCTGCGGAATGTTATAAAATATTCGGTCTTCAACGCAAGGTAATAAGGATCATCGCCTCTCTTGGTTACAGGGACGACTGTAGGGCTATGTTTAGTAATCTTGGAATTCTAACACTACCCTCCTTATATATTTTACAAAATTTACTTTATGTTAAAAATAATTTGAATTTGTACCATAGCCATGATAGTTTTCATGACCACAATACAAGGAATAAAAATCAGCTTATGAATAAATTTTCCAGGCTCAATAAATGCCAAAGTGGAGCGTGCACTGTCAGAGGCTGAGCTATGGTTTACCAGTAACAGACTTGTTTTAAACAAAGAAAAAACACAAAATCTTATTTTTTCTTTAAGACCTATAAATGATGGATACCCACTAAAACCAGTTAAATTTCTAGGAATCTTATTAGACCATAAATTAAGATGGAATTGCCATGTTGATGCGTTATCCAAAAAATTGAGCACCAGTATATTTGTCATGCGTAACTTAGTTGGTAATGTCTCTAGTGATGTACTGTTAAGTGCATATTATTCGCTATTTGAGTCACATATATCTTACGCTCTAATTGTGTGGGGTCACTCTGCGGAATGTTATAAAATATTCGGTCTTCAACGCAAGGTAATAAGGATCATCGCCTCTCTTGGTTACAGGGACGACTGTAGGGCTATGTTTAGTAATCTTGGAATTCTAACACTACCCTCCTTATATATTTTACAAAATTTACTTTATGTTAAAAATAATTTGAATTTGTACCATAGCCATGATAGTTTTCATGACCACAATACAAGGAATAAAAATCAGCTTATGAATAAATTTTCCAGGCTCAATAAATGCCAAAGTGGACCAGATTTTAACGGGATAAAATTTTACAACAAACTTCCAATCAACATAAAAAATATGGCTTTTAAGGAATTTAAGTTATATCTAAAATCTTTATTTGTAAATAACGTGTTTTATTCTGTAAACGAGTATTTTGAGTACCAATTTTAATGTTTTAATTATATATTTACCTATACCTTTACCTTTGTACTTTTAATGTATTTGTGATTAGTCTTTTCTTTCTACTTTTCTTTTTTTTTGACGTTGTAAACAATTTGTATTGTATTAGCACTAATAAAGATTATTATTATTATTATTATTATTATTATATTATATTAAGCTTCGAGGTGGCTTCCTTAACGTGCCAAGCCGCTAGGTGGCGCTAAGATCGAAGGGGTAAAGTCAATTAAACTACTACTTAGTTAAATGTGGAACTACTGCATAACCATAACCTAACTTTTTAAATTCTTTTTCTATGTTTTGTTTACATTTTCAACAATTTAATATTTGTGAGTTTTGTTTCGGATAATTTACTTTAACAAAATAGGACAACAAAGTCTATACTCTATGCACAAAGTCCTCGGCCGTCACATGCCCAGACAAACATGTAAGTAAAACATGTTAATGTATAAAATACATAGTATACGTATTACGTATATCATATATATGTTACGGCTAATGTGTAAACATGGATAGTTTATAAAGTAGCTGGGTAGTTTATAAACTAGCCAAACTGTCAGCTATTTTAATTGAAAACGTATTTTTAACTAAATTAGCGGCTAGTTTGTAAACCAACCAAGGGTCTTGGCTAATTTACTTGAAATTATTTAGGTATAGCTGGATAATTTGTAAACAATCCAATTCAATTTGGCTAATATGAAAACCAAAATTTCTAGTAACACAACATAGCCAAGCTTTACAAACTAACCAACCAATATTCTGGCTAATTTATTAATAACCGATTTTTTTATTGGCTTGGCGGGGATGGCTTGATTGTTTATTTAAAATAATATATATTTCACCAACACGATGTGCTTAATTATATAATAATCATACAAAATGTGAAGGTGTCAATAATATGTTTTTTATTGCACATTGCCATGTTTTTAACCGCTCCTTATTTGTTGGCACTTTAAACATGGACCGCTTAATTTTAATGCCGGAACGATAGCTTTGCTGGTTACATTTTGGCACAACACCCCAGTAAGCACTGGAACCTCCCAGGGACGTACGCAGGACGTCTTCCTGGGTTATACCTGACGGACTCAGGAAATCCGACAGCGTCTGTAGGACGTCCCTGGGATGTCTGATGACAACCAAAGGATAGTAAAAAAGACTTCCTAAGACCCTCCATTTTAGGTCCTACTGCGACCACCTCAGGCCTCTCTATGGACGTTATAATTCCATCCGCATGGAGAAAAAAAATACAATCTATTTATTTTTATTATCTATTTATTTTTAACATCTTTTGTAACAAAAACTATAATTCTAATAAAAAAAATAAATGCAATAAAAATATTCAGGGTAATCCGAATTGTACCTTACATACCTAATTTGGGAATTGATAGAATAACATAATATCAATTTTATTAATAAACTTATATATGTATAATATACATAATACATATAATATATTATATATAGTAAACTAAACAAGGTGTATCTTTTTTTAAATAAATTTAATTGTTTCTGAACTTAAAATGCTAAATTATTGTTTTAAATAAATATAACTACCTATATAGGTATTTAAAAGTAAAGTGCTCTTTTAGTTCCACCCTTACATCCAAACTAAGATGTCCCATAAGCCAACTGAAAGGCTTGTGCGGGTTAGGGGTAGGAACGGACCGACGGCTTAAAGTCCCCTCCGAAGGACTATACACAATGGACAAACACAAATAAACAACCATACCCAAGTGGGATTCGAACCCACGACCTCTCGGCTCGTACCCAGGAGCTCTGACCACTAAACCACCGAGGCCGTTATTTAACTAAATGAATAAATAAAGTGAGGTTATTTAAAACAAGCAACAGTGAAGACCATACAACACGAAACTACAATAAGAAATATAATAGTTATACTAGTTATGCAATTTAAAGAAATTATATTAATTTATAACGGCATCAATAAAAAAAGAGGAAAGCTTTTTTGTCGTTAATCGGGCGGCACCTCGAAGAGATGCATTATTGTTAATTATAAATTTACTAGAAAAAAACAATAATTTGCTCAGAAATATATATTATTTAATACATACCTACCTTCATTAAATATAAAAGGCACACAAATGTAAACTAAAGTTGTATCTATTGTTAACTAAACTTCCAAACCACAAAACAATACAAAACTGATTTTAACACGTGCCACGAGACTCATGGTACATTAACGCAGCGCCAGGGTTGCCAACTTGAATTCGATAGTCGGTACCGCGTAATTCAAATTACCGTACTATAGCTCGCAGGATCGTACTTACTAAATGGGGGTGCGAATTTTTTGGAATAAAAAGGGTAGTAATATTTTGTAAAAATTATGAATATAAATAAATCTTCAAAAAAAATTGTTCATCTTTTTTTACCCTTTTAAGAAATAAATTTATTAAAAATATTTAAGAAACATAAGAATATACATAAAATACATAAATATTTAAGAAACAACAATATACATAAAAACATAAAAAAATAAAATACCTACATTAAAA